TACCTGAACATTCAATACCTGGAACCTTGCTATATTTACACACCTTGGTACACAACTTGATACACAATCATCTCACATGTGGACTCCATTGTGGATCCCACACATATGAGAGGGTTGTGTACAAGTAGCATTTTTCTGTTTAAATCTCACCGAATTGTTGTATTATTGGTGACATAACCTGCTCCAAACCATTGAACCAACGGGATGTTGATCAGCCCTCTTATCTAGCATGCAACCACCCACAATAATTGGCACCTTAACCTGTACAGACATGTGAGAAATGCACTAAATAGGGTAACATGAAGGTCTATCACATGCATAAGTTAGAACAATGGTGCACATCCCGATTATCAAAATCACATAACTGCAAAAACACGTGAAACGGTAGACATTTAGTTACCCCATCATGGGGACAAATTCGAACTTGGTATCATTGAACGTATAGAGTATACTTGCAGAATTTTTTATTCATAACCACATGCATTTGTACACACATAGTATACAAATAGGTACCTATAGATCCATGTGTTTAGGTAGTATTCAATCGTGAAATGATCATTTTATACAGAACGGAACAAGTTGTATTGCGAGTGCATGTCCGTGTGTGCAGTGTGAATTTAGACAAATACAAAACACAGACATACCATTACTTATAGACTCGTTCCAAATGCATAATTAGTTTTTTAACGCCTAATGCAGACACTAATATATATATTTTTTTAAAAAAACTTAAATTATGACATGAAAAAGAAGTTAAAATCATAATAAAGACTGTCAAAAGGAAAGAATTGAGGATAAGAGGAAAAAGAAGTTAAAATCACAATTCAGTAAAGTGAAATCTAGCAACACAATATGAAGAATAAAAGTTCAAATTCACCTAGTTACCCAAGTACATTAACTTTTTCTTGTATAAAGCCAAGAAAATACAAGTGACGTGTAATTGGGATTATAAGCACAAATAAATCCATTAGGAAATTGAGGACCTGGAGGAAATGTCAATAATGGTGACGGGAATGCGGTCCGGGTAGATGTCTTCTGGCAGCTTTGTAGGTGGCTGCATGGGAGGAACGTTGATTGGAACATTGTCCGCCCGCAGCCGTGACTATATATCAAGCTCGATACCCCATCTTTGCATCCTTGGCGACTACTATTCTCACACCAGCAGCATTCCCGGTTGCAACAGAAGCTGAAGCATCACTGCTCAAGTTCGTTAATTCTGGATCGAGCCTGCTCAAGTTCTACCTCAAGGATAGATACCAATGGAGCAGCATTTGTTCGTTGGTTGAGTATGGGTCAGCCAATTACTTGCTTTAATGCAACTAATATTTTCCAGCCAACAGGATCCCACTTTGTTGACCCCTCCATTGAGTCGTAAACTTGGAACAGGGCTCAAACTACAAAAAATAAAAGTATTTTCAAGATAGGATATGGAGGCTAAAAATTAGAAGTCGAGAAAACCCTATATTTGTTAATAAAATGGATCCAAGTTTTAGTAATCAACTCGATGTCAACGTATCACAAATCTTCAACTATTGTTCGAACACCTTAAGAAAAGGCAAACATAATTGTACAGAATATCACATTTTGCAAAATAAAATCTCTCTTATTATAGGTGCAGACATTGATCATCCAAATTCAGGGGCTGTCTGTCTGTGCTTAAAATCAATAATCAATCCGTTGGCAGCAATAATCAATCCGTTGGCAGCCGCAACAATTGACCCTGTTTCTCACAGGTAGCCTGCAAGTTGGAAAAAAAGGGTACAAAAATCAATTAATTGGCCCAATAAAATCGATGCCAGACAGCCCCTCAACCCAGCAACGAAAATTTGTAACAAATTGGGAAAAGGAAGACATGGAAGAAAATAATACTTGACATAGAAGCCCTCTGTTTGTACCCGAAACAAAATGTGGACTATGGCCAGGCCTTTTGCTGATGAATTAGGGTATTCTTCCTCATAGAGGTGTCAAGACGAACGGGCCAGCTAGACCCGTGAAAATCGGCTTGGATCGATCCGGGACCGCGGGCTAACCCGTGATCCGAGCGGGCGATTCACGGGTCAAAGAGGTGTGACCCGCGGGCTTCGTGTGTTGGACCTTCACGGACCGCCGTTAACCCGCTGGCCCATGAAAAAAAAATTTAAAATTTGAAAAAAATGGGGGAAAGAAAATTTGTTGATGATATTCCTCATAGATGGAATTCAACTTTTTTAATGTTAAAGTCGTGTGTTGGCTATACTAATGCTATTAATGTTAAAATCGTAGGTTTCAACCTAGTTGGGATGTACTTATGCTATAAATATTTGAAAATAATAATTAAAAATGCATTTAGTTGTTATTTGTTCAAGTCAAATTTAATTTTGCAAAGTTATAAATAATTCATGTAACATTAAATTTGAATTTTATGTAAACATTTCTTGATATAAATATGAATTTATCATTGGACTTTGCTTGGTGTACATAATTATTGTACAAAGGGTTTTGCTATGGGTACATAGGGGGTGCCATAAGGGTTCACATAATGGCCAAATGGCACCCCCCTATTGGAGGGTCGACTCGGCCCACATTGTAGGTCCAACCAACCCTCAAATAGGGGGGTGCCATTTGGCCATTATGTGAACCC